TTAAAAACAAAATATCAGTAATAAAGATATTTATTAAACTCCCCCTTTTCACTCTTAGCAAAATAAACAAAAAAGTACGCTTCCCAGCTATATATCAACTACGTAGTAACAGAAAAGTGACATACAAGCAAGATCTCTAGACAACATATACAAACTTCATTAGTCTACAAATGTAGTACGGGAATCATAGCTTGCATAGCAAATTTAAAATTTTCCATATAAATGCCCACAAAAGAGTGCAACTGAAATCATAGAGACACTTACCTCAAATAAAATTGAACCAAGCAAATTTGACTTTTGAGCACCACTAAGTTACTGTATGAAACTGTGATATATGACCAGCTTTTTTGCCTTCTTTTTTATATAAAAAAAACTCAGCCCTTTTATACCTTACACTAGACATTAAAGATTCAAGGTAAAAGATTTGAACTTACAACATCAGATACAAAATTGCCCACTTTGTCTCTACTTTTTATAACAGATACTTAAAGTGGTAAATATTTTAGCCAGTTATTGCCATGGAGGAAAACTGGGACATTTATAAGAACGGAGTGGTTAATTTTAAAGTCTAATATGATGCTTTGAGTTGCTGTAAAAATTGAGAACAGTAAGTTTACTCACCACCAGAGCCCAAGATAAGTGATCAAAGTGACAAAATATGCTTGCATTCCATTAGCCTGCAATAGACACAAAAGGAAAGCCCTGATTTCAGTGAGACAAAATCCAGTTTCATATAATAAATGTACACATAAGATTAATGTACTTCAACAACAAGAATAGCCATAACATACCTTGTAAACAGGACGATTTCCGGTGGGAGATATAGGGCCTTCCACCCTTTTTCCAGGTAACAATAGCTGAAGTGCAGCCTCAAATGCTCCATAACAGAAGATGATTTTGCATGCAGTAAATGTGGGTTTAGGCCACATGTTAACAAAACCTTGTAACCCATGCTCCCTCAAGTATAGCCAAGTTTGAGAGATAGAGCCATCAGCATGTACCATAGTGTACCATCTGCATTGGACCAAAAAATTTCAACGTCAACAGAAATCAACATAGCATCTCTGCTACAAAGCAAAGCGGAAATGAGTTCCGAAGCTCAGATTACATCTGCAGCATAGATTATTGATCACTGAAATAAGGTGCGTAAAAAGTCTAAGAATAACAATTGATGTGTCAGAAGGAGAATTTTGCTTGTTTTTACATCAAACTAGGAAACACGGTTGGGTTACTTGGGTACCCAAAAAAACAAACTCAATCAATGCAGAACTCAGATTTCTGAATCTACGGACCAGTTGCTAGCTGATTCTTTGACATGTGACATTCATTAGGCTAAAGTAGCAAGATGCAAAAACTATCAGCCATAAGTTCAAAATCAAAGTCTATTCTTTCGAGCAGCAATTATAGTTTTACATGTTTTTGTATGAATTATGTAGCATCTTTCTTTCACTAACTAGATCCAAATATTTCTAAGATTCCAGTATTTCACAAGGTTAATGTCAAGTCAATCGTGAAGAAAATGCCTAATAACAAGGATACTTGATACCACAAAATTCAAAACTCTCACATGTAAATCAATAACATCTAAAGTTAATACTTATGATTGCCATATACGAATATCTAACAAAGCAAATCTGCTTTTCAATTTTGATGAAGCTAATCTTCCACTACTATATTTTTTCATTTCTATCGAACCTTAAAGTAAGCAATACAGATTTTCCATTGAGTACAGTCATTTATATCACTAGCTAATATGCATACTGTGTAAATGCCCCCCAAGAAATGTGCACATGGGAATCAATAGGTTAAAAAGATTAGAGTTAAAAGACAAAAAGAAGGTAATTGTCACATATGGGCAATCAACTAATGCTATCAGTGTAAAAATCAAAACACATTATAACTTTTACAAGAAAATTGTAGATGTCTCCACCAATTGAATACTCACTCTCAAGGCAATGTTCTTTTCAATTTCATAAAATTCATAAAGCAAAACTTAGTTTTAATCAGCAAAAATCAATTAAAATACGAGAAAAAACAATGGAAAATGATCAAAAACCATTTTTTTACTCGATTAAAACAGCTTAACTGAATAAAATCAATTCTAATCAATAAAAATAATCTCGATTAAAAAACATGTGGAGAGAATCAGGCCTAATAACACGTCATTATTAAAAACATCGTTAACGTTGAAAGATTCATGTTTTTTAATCTTTTGTGTAAAAAATTGGATCATCCTTATGGCCACCATACCACATGTAGACCATTTGACATACAGTACAATAATACTGAATATTAAATCCATGTTAAAGAACAAAAGCAATGGCTTATTGTTCAAATAGAGTCAAGAAACACCTGAAAGTAAAGCAGCATTAAAACAACAAAAACAGGACACCAATAATATAAACATGGTTAAAAAAAACTGGCAAAAAAAAAACCAATTAATTGTTTAAACATATAGACAAATAGTAACCAGTAAGTGCGGAGTATGTAGTATAACACTATTATGCCATTGACAAATTACACCTTATTAAACAATTGAAATAATTATCAAACATGAAACCCAGAAATTTAAGACCCCATTAACAAATCCATCAATCAAAAATAAATACCATGAAATATAACTCAAAATCTATCCATTTCACATCCCAAAAAACATAAAAAAAATTAATACAATTAATGATCAAAACGAGGGTTATCACAGATCTAAACCAGAAATCAATTCACTAAACAAAAAAAATTATAACTTGATTAAAAAAAAAACACTAAAATTAAAACAAAAACATCAAAACAAACTTAAAGAAGAAAAGGGTATATTTTGCTTACAATAGAATAACAAAAGGAGGGCAAAAGGAGAGAAGTGATAACATTGATGCATAAGTGACAATGGGAGAATGCACAGTTTTTGATTCCGCCATTGTTGCTTCTCTTTTTCTCTCCTCTAATTCTCTTTCTGACTTTGCAATCTACAAAAAAATTGGTGGGTATTCTTAAAAGCTCAGTTAATTATTAATTAGTGTGATAATGAAACCAATTGGACTTTTCTACGCCTGAAATTTAACTAATTTTTTTTTTCCAAAAAGATGGCTGCTTTTTGCTTCTTTCACATGAAATAGTGAATTCTCCGTACTATGTTATGTAAGTAGGTGCTGATAAAAAAAAACCCAAAATGTGTCTATTTTGTGGTGGGGTGTATGTGCACAGTAATTGTTATTGTTAATAAATTTAATTTTGTATAAGTCGCCTTTTAAGAGAATATTGAGCTATCCTGTCAAAAAAAAAAAAAAAAAAAAAAGGATATTGAGCTATAAATGTAACATTTACGTGTAATTGTTAATTTTAAGGTAATGTCTGAGCATTGTTCATAGTTAAATACCGATTAAAATGTACTCCCTCCGTCCCCGAAACTTCGACCCTTTTGGGTTGATTTCGCGGGTATTAAGAAGTTAAATTGGAAGTGTAAGAGTGTATGGGAAAACTAAGAAAAGTACATTGAAAAGGGAAATTTACATTGAAATTGCAAAAAAGTAGAGAGAGAAAGTAATAAAAGTATATAGAAAAAGCAAAATTTGCATGGGGAAGCTAATTTTGCACAAATATTATTGCAAATTAAAGGGTATTAAAATGCAAATGGGATGAACATATTGGGACTAAAATTAGGCCATAAGGGTCGAAGTTTCGGGGACGGAAGGAGTATGTTTATGAGGGTAATATACTATAATTACTGACAGCCATTGGTAAAAATATACTTATTAAATACTAGTGAAAAGATAAAGATGTGTTTAGGTGTACAATATATTGATTATTGGCCCAATTAAACAAGAATCAATGACATACACCATTAATTCCGTATGGTTAGTCTCAAATTTTAGACCCACTCCAGAGGGATTAATGATTACGGTACTTGTGTGGCTAATTATTACTCAATACGTACTTATGGTGGTTTGATTATAATTTGTTTTATAATTAATTAATGTAAATGATGTTGTCGAGGTACATATTGAATAATGAGAATGTTGCTAAGTACTTACCAAATAAACAAAAATTTCTTGGTCTTGGTGGAACTTGCCTTGACAAACTTGTGGATTGAAACTTTGCATTAACGTTTACTCTTGACTTTGTGACTTGTAAAATGGAGCAAATGGAATCACGCTATTAGTCTAAATGAATGGCCCCACTTGATGTGTTTGTTGTGTGATGACAAGTCCAATGTTTGTACAAAGACTACAAACTCTATTGTATAGCCCATTGTCTGTGGAAGCTAGCCCGACTTTTTAGGCCCAACTCTGCAATCGCCACCTTATTTATACTTTAGGTCTATATACAATGGGTTGTAGGTTCAAACCTTAAATGCCTCAACGGCTCAAACCCATATTGGCTATATGTAATACTCTGTAGTTTGTATAATGGTTTGTTTGGATAACAAAGTATAAGAGAAAGGAAAGGGAGGGAAGAAGAAAGGGTGAGGAATGGAAGGGAAGGGAGAAAGTAAGGTTATATCTTCTCTCCAAATCTTTTCAATATTGGAAAGATTTGGTTTATTAAAGAGGAAAGAAAAATGAATCGATCCTTTCACTTCCCTTCCCTTTCCTCTTATCAAAGACTACACAAAGAAGAGGGGATGAATCCGTTCTTTTCTCTTCTTTTCATTTCCTTCTAAATCTCTCAATCCAAACAATGTGTAAGTGTTACAGAGTCATTGTCACGGTGAAGAGGTTAATGTGGTAGTGTTATGGTTGCGTGAATAGTCTCAAAAGGGACATGGATGGTCGTTTCCTTTCCTCTCGAATGTATTGACTTCGCCACTTGGGCTTTCACATAACAATAAAATTTAGAAAATGATTGGATTAGATAATGAGGACATGAAAGGAGGGTGAATTGGAATTGGATGAATGTATTAGAGCATTAAGTATTTCAATAAATCTAAATAGTGGGTGATGCGAGACTTTGTGAGGGCAGTTAACTAGTTAGTTGAAGTTATTAATATTAGGGGTTTGTTTGATTTGTGAAAAACCCTTAAATAAACTATGTTGTTTGTTTTAAAAAAACAAAGGGAAAACACACCATCAGCCCACCACCACACAACACCTTTTTCCTTCACTTTCCCACCTTCTCTAGTCACCACCTAGCCACCCCACCACTCGCCGCCCCTCCCCTCCCCCGCAAAATCTTGCGGCAAGGGTTTTGAGGGTGGGGGAGAGGCTGCCGACATTTTACGAGGAGGGGGATACATATCAACCTCTCAGGGGAAGCATCTCCTTCGCGACAACAATTTTAACCACCACCTATGGTGGTGGCGTTGGTGAGGTGTGTAGTTGTTTGTGTGGAAGAAGAAAGTCAATTGGCAGTGATGGAGGATGGAGAATGGAGAAAGGAGGAAGAAATCAATGAAAGTACAAAATTGCCCCTATTAATGAGTAAAATGACTTATATACCCTTGGTATACCAATCAGGTCGATGAACTTGTATTTACTCTCGTTTAACACAACTCCTTTACTTGCAAAAATCTCAATCAAGGCATAAACCCTTGCCTCCCTCAACTATCGCCCCCAGCAGTCCAGCACTAAACTTAACAGTTAAAACCCTTTCTCTTCAATGGCCGCATAATTGCAAATTCAACTAACTGTTTCGTTTTCAATAAAAATAAAAGAGAGAGAGAAACAGTAGAGGTTTTCTGAAGAAGTTGGGTCGATAAAAATGGCGGCAACCTCCATAGCAGCACAACTTCAAGCTCTCAAATCTTATGTAAAAGCAGATACAGAGGCCCCCAGAAGATCTATTACTCGACCCTCTGTTCTATTCAACCCTAAAGAGGCTGCTGACCTTGATATTGATACCATCCTTAGCCTTGCTCTTTCTGGTAACTTTTTTTATGTTATTCATATTATTTTGCGCCTTTTATTGATTTTTGAGTTTTAATAGGCATTTTTTTGTTCTGGGTTTTCTTCAATTTTGTATTTTCTACCTTAAGAAATTGGGTGTTTGCATTGGGTATTCATTGTTTATTGTTGTGTGTATTGAGTGTGTTAGTAGGAGCAGAAATTGTTTCTAGTTTATGTGTAATGGTTGAATTTTAGAGAATTTTCGGAGTCCAACTTGTATAGGATTATATTTGAAGCAGGAATTGAGGAATTTTGCATTGTATTTATAAAAATGGAGCTGACAATAATGAGCTAAATTCAGTTTATTATGGTGTACTGCTTGGGTTTGAGTCTAGAAATTTTAAAAGATTTAAAATGAGTTATAATTGTGTGATTATTCTCTTATGGATTAGTGCATTATAAGAATTTTCTTTTTGGTGACGATGCCGATCTGGTTAGATATTAAACAGCATTAGAGAATAGATAATGGCTGGTAAAAAGACCAATGGGAATTTTTTTCCCTCACATTTGCATTGTTATAGTGGTTTTTCATGGCAAGAAAAGTGAATCGGGAAGGAGCAATGTGGTGTCATTTTTCTTGTAAAGAGGGGTGTGATTTTAGGGTATGCTCCTTTGATGGACTCCAAATGTTTCATCTCATGAACAGGAACACTTTAATAGATGTGCAAAGATTGAATACTTTGGTCACTGATTGAAGGGAGGGGGGGGGCTTTAGTGTTTATAATATTGTGATTGAGTTATTCTAGCAAAGATGGAACTTTGAATCTGATTTATGACAACACATTGATGAGCGGTTTGATCTCGGACAATTTTTTTTTGTGGATACTAACTATACTCTTCTTCTTCTTCTTCTTCTTCTTCTTCTTCTTCTTTCTTTTTTAGGTTTGGAAGTTCTTGAAAAAATTGATGATCGGTTCATAAATCACAAGCATGATCTGTTTAGTCATAAAAGCAGAGATCTAGATAGGGAGTTGATGGGCATTGAAGAAAATAAACGCATTAACTCTTCAATCAGTGCTTATTTGCACTTGCTTTCTGGACATTTTCAATCACCTTCTGCGTTTAAGACACTTGAGTACCTGATTCGACGATATAAGATTCATGTGTATAATGTTGAGGAGTTAATCTTATTTGCACTACCTTATCACGATACTCATGCATTTGTTCGAATCGTGCAATTAATTGACTTGGGAAATAGTCGATGGAAATTTCTTGACGGTGTCAAAGGATCTGGTGCACCACCTCCCAGAGAGGTTTTTGTCCAGCAATGCATACGTGACATGGGTGTTCTCGAGGTTATATGCAGCTATGCAACTCCTGTAAAGAAGCATAAGCCTGCCACACCCATGATCAGTTTTTGCACAGCAGTTGTAGTTGAGGTTTTGGGGTCACTGGCAACTGTTGATAGTGATACTGTGAAGAGAATTCTTCCCTTTCTGAATTCTGGTCTGCAATCGGGTGGTAAAGGGTCTTCTGATTATAAAGCTGGCACTTTGATGATTGTTGGTCTATTAGCAAACAGAGTATCCTTGTCTTCCAAACTGGTCAGCAGCTTGGTCCGTTCAGTGGCTGAGTTGGCTCAAGCAGATGCACAAGCGTCAACAGATTTACAGTGGGTTCAGTTATCAATTATGGCTTTAATCAACATTGTGCAGTTGCAGTCTGTTGAAACACTCCCTAAGAAGGTGGTAGACATCCTGAAAGAGATTGAAGCTCTCCCTGGAATTCTTTCACAAATGACCACAAGGTTCAATATTGACAGATTTCTTACTGTGCTCTTGGAGTCCCTTATTGACTATAGTATTTCTGACAGTCGGTGCAAGCTTGCTGTAGTATCTATTATTGATACTGTTATTATCAAGGGTCTTGTTCGAGTTATAGTTTTCAGGCTTCTTTCTGCGTGTGTGCGATTGTCACAGAACACTGATAATTTAGATATCTCAGATTCAGGGAGCTTTGCAAAGCAAATTTTGCTTCTTCTCAATAAAAAGTATCCCAATGAATTACGTTCTTCTGTTCATGAATTCTTGAATGACAAAAAGGTGCAGCTGAAGGGTGAAAATTCAGTGGTTGAGGGTTTGTGCAAGATGCTGGACGGAAACATAACATCATCTGTAGCCTCTACGGACTCAAAGGTCTGGTTTGGACTTGAAAATCCAAAGGCGGAAATCAGACGGGCTACACTCTCTAATCTTGACCTGTCCACCTTTTTGAATGGTGGTGTTACGTCAGAGTGGCTTGTAACTGTCCAGGAGGCAGTTGTTCATTGTCTCTCTGATGATGATCTGAGTGTTGTTCAGGCAGCTCTTTCTCTTGATAAATTGTCCGAGCTTATAGACTCTGCTCGTCTCCTGGAGATGTATCGGCATTTGCTTCTGAAATGCACTCAGATTATATGGTCAGGTGGATCTGAGAATCTTTCTCTTGCTGGTGAGGTTGCTATTTTATGCCTGAAGCACGCAGTTTCTTTCTTACAAGACCGAACTGATTTTGTGGAGCAAGTTGCTACAATGATATTTCCCTTCATTTTTGTTTTTCCAAGGACAAAGAAGTTGAACTTGAAGGCCCAGAAATTGGCCAAGGAAATAAAGTGGCCTTTCTACAGAGACCTAATCTTGGCATCTGAGGTTAAAAAGGACCTTAAAAAGAAATCTGGGAAGGAGTGGGTTTCTGGTGTTAATATGCCAACTGTTTGCAGCTTGGTGAATGTTTTTTCTGAGGGTAGCAAAGAATTAATGCCGTGGCTTATCAAGTGTTGTACTGAATCTGAATTATCTAAAACATTATTCTTCTTGATATTGCTACAGTCATTTATCATGCAGAAGAATGCCTTTCATCAATTTTCCACTTTGTATGAAACTTGCTATGCTTTTATTAAGGCGGAGTGGAAAGCAATTGAGCATGTTGAAAATGTTTTGCGTGGTCAGGAGTTCAGTTCTAGGATTCTTGATTCAGAAGACAATAAGTTCCTAAATGAGCTTGATGAAAATAATCTTAAGAATTTGAATGCAAGGATCCTGGTATTTGTGTTTTGGAGGGCAATTAAGGCATATATCTCAGTGGTGCCAACAGGTGCTGACATGGATGAGGATGGAAAATGGATGCGCACTTTGCGGGATTTTTACGCCTTCTTTGCTGAATCTAATCTGAAGCATGTTTTCAAGGAGCACAAAAATTATCTTGTTCAAAACTGCAGGGTCTCTCCCATCCATTTTCTCTCAGCCTTTGTTAGTGATCCAGGAGTTTCCACTAGATTACAAATTGAGAGTCTGCATTCATTTGCTATGTTATGTTCTCAGGCAGACGAGGGTTCTGCTTTGCAGCATTTGGCTGGATTTCCTTTAACTCTTGTTCCATTGTCTAGTGATGACCAGGATATCAGGGCAGCTGCTATAAGCTATGTTGAAGAGCTTAACACCCTGTGTTCCCGTGTAAAATATGTGGGCAAGAAAAATGGAAATAATGACATTTGGAGTTCTTCTATTGATGAACTTTTGAGCTTGCTGGTACAACATAAGAAGTTGATCGTTTCGGATAGGGATTTCCTTCCTTCATTGATGGCATCAATACTATCATCATCTTTCCAGAGCCTTCGTGTGCCACTGGATGTTGGTCAGAAATTAGATAAGTCTACCATTGATAGGATTCTCACTTTCATACTAGGATCTGCTATGAAATTTCCTGGATATGCAAAGCTAAAAGTAATCTCACTTCTGAAAGAGTTGGGTGTCTCCATCATGCGGGTAAAGGATGTTGAGTCTCTGTTGTGTGATCTTTTGCAGCAGCGTTACAGTTACCATTTTAAGCTTGATAAGTCGCACCGAGAGTTGTCTGGCATTGATGTGGATATCCTCTGCCTTTTAATTGAGATCTGTTCCATGCCCATATCATCAGATATACATATTGTTGAAGACCATCTATTGCCTGCATTATGCATTGAAGGTTTGTTGCTAGATGATGCCGCTATAGTAAGGCCATGTGTTGCATTTTTGCAGAAGCTGAACGGAAATCTATACAGAAGTTTAAGTTCTGAGACACAGCAAAAACTTTTCCAGCAGTTGGTGCTTCTTTACCATGATGCTAACAATGATGTACAGAATGCCACTAGGGAAGCATTGTTGCGTTTAGATGTTTCTGCTTCAACTGTTGCCTCCATTTTGAATACTATCCTCGTATATGAAGGTGATTTAGTGGCTTCCTCACACCGGAAAAAGAAATCTAAGAAGCATAACGCTGGTTTATTTTCAGTAGGCCGAAGTGCACTTAGCTCTATTAGCTCTCTTCTTGATGTTCTGTTATTAAAGAAAGACATGGGAAACAGGGCCCTTCTTGTAGAGCCTCTTTTTCAGCTTCTTAGGAAAGCCTTCACAGATAAGTGGGTCCATGCAGTTACCCAAGAGGAGTGGGTTCCAGCTTTATCAGGCATCTCTCAAACCACATCTAATGCATTGTCTTACATACAGCAGACAGTGTTGCTTATCTTGGAGGATATCATTTCTTCACTTTCAGATGATCTCTCACTGAACAACGGAGTATTTGATAAATTTGATGCCGCACTACTTGTTGAATGTGCACAGTCTGCGTCAGATGTTGTTACCAGCAATCATGTATATTCACTATTTGCTACAATTGCTAAGGTTGAACCTGGCAAGATATTGCACCATATTCCTGCAATTCTCGCTGTTATCAGTAAATCAACTGTGTACCACGATGATAGTCATTCAAAACGTGTATTTGAAGGGTTAGTTTCAACTGTTGTTCCTTGCTGGTTATCTAAGATGGATGGTGCTGATAATTTGCTCCAAATCTTCATAAATGAAATGCCTGGTGTTGCTCAGCACCAAAGGCTGTCAATCACACTCCATTTCTTGAAGACTCTTGGAGAAAGCAGTAGTATGGGGTCGTTGTTAGTCCTCCTTTTCCGTTCATTGGTTTCAAAAGAGAGATTTTCTTCTCTTCACAGTGAGATAGACACTTCTGGCTTCATAAACTCTGTAGTTCAAACAGAATGGGAGTATAATTTTGCTGAACAAATATGTGAACAATATACATGTTTGATATGGCTCCCTTCCCTTGTTTCATTGCTTAAGCAATTGCAGGGAGGTGTTTCTGACAATAATCAGTGTGTGACATTGTTATTTGCCTTGAAGTTTGTTTTGGGGAAGCTGCAAAATCCTGAAGTTGTCATGAAGCTTCAGTCGATGGAAGATATGGAAACAATCCAGAAAACACTTACTGAACTCATGGTACAGGTTGTTTTTTGTTGGCAATTCATTTTCTTAAGTAAGAAAAAGACATCACTTCCAATCTTTTTGAAGAAGGAGCTTAAGGAGATTATCCATGCTGTTTTAATGAAGATAACAAATGGAATGCTCCCTTCAGCCTTTTTCCAAGGTGTTATTAGGTTGCTGGTTCAGACTGATAAAGGTCCAAGGAAGAAGGCCCTTCAAGTTCTGTGTAAATCTGTGAGAGACCTTGATGCTCTTAAATCTAAAAATGAAAGGGAGCGAAATGTGCATTTGAGAGGCTCTTGGAATCATCTTGATGGAATTGATTTAGACTCGTTTGCTGCACTTTGTCTGGAAATCTTGCAGTTAGTTGATGGTTCTGATAATGATCTCAATGTATCTGTCAGGCTGGCCGCAATTTCGGCATTGGAGATTTTAGCCAACAAGTTTCCTTCCAATCATGCAGTTTTCAGCAAATGCCTTGCGATTGTTGTGCAAAATGTGTTATCTGATGATCTTGCTGTTTCTTCTGGTTGTCTCCGTACAGCTGGTGCATTGATAAATGTTCTGGGACCAAGGGCACTGCCTGAGCTTCCTGAAATCATGAAAAATGTTTTGCAGAGGACTCGGGCTGTGTCTCTGTCATCAGGAGCACGCAAAGAATCTGCTGAGGACAATGGTATTCAGATATCTTCAAAGGATACCCTTATGTTAGCTGTACTAGTCACTTTGGAGGCACTTGTAGAAAATCTGGGTGCCTTTTTGAATCCCTACCTTGGTGATATTGTAGAAATTGTGTTGCTGCATCAAGACTTTGTATCAGAATCCAACCAGAAAATAAAATCCCAGGCTGATAATGTACGAAGGTTAGTTAGTGAGAAAGTTCCTGTCAGGCTAGCATTACCTGCATTGCAGAATGTGTACACAAAAGCTGTGAAGGCAGGGGATTTGAGCTTGTCTACAGTATTTGAGTTACTCCAGAATTTTGTTAGCAAAATGGACAAATCATCAGTGAGCGGCTACCACACAAACATATTTGACCTCTGTATGATGGCTCTGGATCTTCGCAGTCAGCACCTTGCTTCAATTAAGAAAGTTAATTTCGTGGAGAAACATGTCATCAGTGCAATGATTGCTTTGACGATGAAGATGACAGAGACAATGTTCAAGCCTCTCTTCTTACGAAGTATTGAATGGGTAGAGTCTAGTTTGGCAGAAACTAATCATATGGGGCCCAGAAACATTGGAAGAGCAGTTTCTTTCTATAATTTGGTCAACAAGCTTGCTGAAAATCATCGGTCAGTGCATTAACATCTAGTTGTTACTCTCTTAGTGTTTATAAATGTTGATGTTATAAAAAAAAAAAAATTTATTTATATAGAATATCAAGAATGAAAAGAAAAACTATAATTCACTGAAAATATGTATACTTCTCAACGAACCTTTTAGACAGACATTTAAGCTGCAAGAGGCAGCAATTGGTAGTATCCTTTCTTTAATTTCCAAGCTCTATTAATAGTCTTGGTAATCTTTTGAAGTTCATATATAATTAGTTGGAGTTGAGTGACACTGATTTAGCATATATGATCACTGACTGTATCTGTGGGAGTGCTGATTTGTTTATTTTTGCTGATAGCATATATGATAGGATTTGCTGATTTACTTGTTTATTTTGCTCGGTTAAATATGGTCTTCTCTTTCTGTAAGTCTCTTGATACACTTTGTTTTTTGGAATTTAACTGTAGACATTAATTTAATGCAGGTCACTGTTTGTCCCATATTTCAAGTATTTGCTTGAGGGATTTATCAGTTTTTTATCTGATGATGATGATAAGACTAGTCAATCTAGAAAGAAAAAGAAGGCCAAGATTCAGAATTCTGAAAGCAAAAAGAATGAGGCAGTTGATTCTTTGTCACTTGAAAAATGGCATCTCAGGGCTTTGGTCTTGTCGTCCCTGCATAAATGTTTTCTTTATGATACTGGGAGTGTTAAATTTCTGGACTCCACAAAATTCCAACTTCTCTTGAAGCCCATTGTCTCACAGCTTATTGTTGAACCACCAGCTTGTATTGAAGATCATCCAGATATACCATCTCTGGAGGAAGCAGATGAAATCTTGGTTTCTTGCGTTGGTCAAATGGCTGTAACAGCAGGTTCCGACCTTCTTTGGAAGCCCCTGAACTATGAGGTAATAGTTAGTTTCTATAGGATTTTACTAGCTAATAGCCCGCCCATGCATTTCTCTGTCCTTAAGATGATATTTTGATAGTTCTGTGTTGGAGAAGCTACATTCTTTTTTTAAAGAGTAAATTAAATTAAATTCGAAATGTCCAATAAGAATAAACGTGGTATTAGGGAGTACAACTTAAACAAAAATAAGCCAGGGAATATTTAAAGGAAAGATAAATTGAAGTCTTTGGGGTCAAGGGAATATTCATCTTTGTGAGGTATTGAGTTTAAGGTTTAGAAGTTCAGATGTCATCCAGTGAATTACATTTTGGCTGATCTTTAATTGTGAGTTGCTGAAGAATTTACTCAAGGAGTAATGATTATTTCAGGATATACAGTAAGCTTTAGGTATATGCTTGGTCGACTTTCTCTGAATTCATCAGTGCTGTGTTACTCATATTAGGCTACTGGTTTCTGACCATGTCCAGATGTCAGCTTCGGTTAGTTCATAATTAGGTTTTTGGTTAATATTGAATGTCATATGTGCAATGCGTATATCCATGTCAAAGTATTAGATATTAGACTTGCCGGTTCCTGTTTCATAAAAGATTGTTGACCTGTATGGCTGTATCACTGTGTGAGTACCCGTTGTTTGATGAATTCCCCTTTGCCCCAAAACAATAGGCAACATTTGATTTGTGATCACGGTAAGGAACTTAGCTTAATACGTATATACTCTTGGCTTTTAAAATTTGTATATTTTCACCATATCAAGGCAATCATTTTTGGTACTCTTTTGTAAGGGTACCATTGTTAATCAACTAGATTTATGAAGTGGACGAACTTAAATTACAATGTAGTTAATTTAGGAACATATTTAAATTTTTTTGCTGATTATCCTAATTATGTTATTCATGTCCAGGTATTGATGCAAACCCGGAGTGAAATGGTGCGATCCCGTCTTTTAGGCCTGAGAATTATCAAATACCTGGTCGAGAATTTGAAAGAGGAGTACCTGGTGTTACTGGCTGAAACAATTCCTTTCCTTGCTGAGTTGCTGGAGGATGTGGAGTTACCAGTTAAGACACTTGCACAAGAAATTCTCAAGGAGCTGGAGTCTCTGAGTGGCGAGAACCTTCAGGAATACTTTTGATCATATGATTTACCAGGTAATCTTATTTTTTAGTTTCGTAAATTTGAATTTGTTCAAAAAATTATTAGGGAACAGAGTTCCGGCTTATTTTTTGGATGCCTTTTAGCAATAGTCAGTATAGATGCTTTTGTGATTTCCTTTCTATTTCAATATTTGGCGTAGAATTCCGGATTGTACCCTGGTAATTGCGATACTCATTCTACTTCTATTGTTTTGTATATTCTCTTTTCTATTGATTTGTATATTCTCTTTTCTATTGATTTGTAATGCTTGGATGCAATAAATGACCCTGAATTTCTATGGAACAACAAAAGTTTCAATTCAATAGGTGCATCCTAAGTTGAACTGGTATTGATAGGATTCCTTTTGATCCAAGTTTTGGAGTTTGAAGGCGTCAGTGTGAACTTAGAATTGACATTTTAAGTACTGCTGTGTTGGTAAATGTGGTCCTGAAAAATATCCATAACGTTGTTTGTAAGTCTGGTGGTTGTCCAGAATCATGTATTCATGCTAAGATACCGAGCTTTGGCTGATCGATTGCATCAAATTACTAACAATCCAATCTATTACTTGTATGCATTATTGCCGTTGTAGTTGTAGGTGTTGTTGCTCTTTGTAAACCTTAACAATTTTTCTACAGATTTTTCTCCTATGGCACTTGCAATTTTTGTAAACATGTGGATGAATGCATTTTGCACATCTATCGCTCTCTTAAATAAAGAAGGGGTGTGAAGCTGTGAACTGCATAGTGGGTGCCTGTTATGCTAAATTTAATTTTTGAACAGAAGTTTTATGGATTGATGATTCTCTTTTGAGAAATGCACATACAGCGTGTAGAGAAGAGGGGGATTATGTATTCACTGTTGAGACAATGCCTCCCATTGGAGGCCTTCCATCCACCCTATTCAATTACTCCGTATAAAAAGCTGATTCATACCACCATAATATAATGATTTTTTTCCATGAGGCAAGCCAATGAATCTCAGAAAATTGAGTATTGAAGTTTGCTTCTGTTGTGCAGGCTCCTGGCGAATTGTTACCAATCAATCTTGAGAAAATGAGAAGGGATGGCTGAAGTAAATACTCCTTATAAACTGTGGTGTTTTCTTTTCAGTTCTTTCTAACCAGGAGAGAGCACTTATGAGTTAGATCCCAATTTTGCCGTGAAATTTTGGTCCTTGTAGTTGCAGAACTATCAATTTTTTTTTTTTTTTTTTTTTTTGGTCTTTCGTAATGCCAAGGCTTGATTTTCTTATGTATTTGTATACAAACTTAAAACTCTAGCACTTCGAATCAAATCAACTGTCTACACATGATGAATTTTTGGCAAGAAAATCTCTGGCATTACATCAACGCCGTGAAGGCTTGAAATTTAATGTTTATTGCAATTTATAAGCTTTGAAGACTACAATATTTCACCCACTGGTCTTACACTCTAACCTGGGTTGAAATTTTTATATCATTGTTTTAAACCATGTATTTGCTTACAGTATGGTAAAGACTGTTAGCTCCACACCTACTATTCATAAATTTCCAAAAATATTCACTACGAAACAAGTACTTGTATATACCACTATATAGTTTGATTTCTTCAATATTCAAACTTTTCCCCCATTGAAAGATTCCAAACTTACAAAGGGGAAAAAGGCCCTTAGTGAGGAGAGATGAAGGATGAGGAAGATGAAATAAGATCAGCATCCTCGTCCTCGATTCCTGTCAGCACTGGGCCTGACAATCTCAAGTATTCGTTCTCTTCTTTACCACCTCCGTCACCCCCATTATCGCCGCCTGGTTCATCCAACTCATTACAAGACACCAAGGTTTCTAAATCCAAAAAAGTATCTCCCATTTCAAGCTTCTCCTTAGATCACTCTCAGCCTGCAGATGGTTCATCTTCGCAGCCTTTATCTTGCCTCTTGGAACTGTAAGCCCTTAGTTTTCGGCGTTTCTTTTACATTTAAGAAAAGTGAAAATGATAAAATGTGCAAGCTAATCTATGATCAAGCACAATTTATACATAAAATCTACTTCAAAAAAAATAACTTTCTACAATCTTCAATAAGATGCAACAAAATATGGGGTAATTGTCCATATATTGACCGTATTTCTGTATTTCATGTCATGTAACTATAGGCTCGAGTGGTTTGCGCTCAGATGCTGTAGCTGCTGCGACTGGAACCTCAACCCACCATCGAAACTTCAACATAACTAGACAATTCACTGATTAACTCATCTAGTGTTGTTCAGCTACTTTATTGTAACTAAAGATCACATTTTTATCTACTTTTCATTATGAGGGGAAAGGGAACAAGAGAGTTTAAATATCTATGGTTAATGTTACAAGTGCACATGGTTTGACTGGTTGGTTAATGTTGACTGTTTTGAAGCCTGTTGCAGAAGATTTATGTGTAAATATCTGTGGTTAGAAGGGTGGTAAGGATGAGCAATTTCCTTACTATTTTTGGAATATTATAATTTGACTCCTTCCAAAAGAAAGGAAAAAAGAGGTGCATTTTCATGAGCGAGTAATTTTTAATGTCCTTGTAATATAATAAATGCAATTTTGAAGTCTCCTAACTTAGAAAAGCATGTAGTAGAGGAAAAGTTATGTTTATAATGCAGAAATAATTACGTGTCTATTATACACCCGGGTGTACCTAAAGATAAGCGCGGCTGCACAACTATACTTCAATTTAAATTTAGATATCTCATGCATTCTCACAATCTATTGATTTAAATCCATGCATTTTCAATTACAATGTATTTTCCATGATTATTTCCATATGATAACTTGGTAATTCTTTTTGGTATTGACTAAATAACCCTTGATGTCATATTGTTTTTAGTCTCTATCTTGTTTTGATTCATTTGTTCACCCACTTTTTTTTTTTGGTGCTCATTTATTCACCCACTTTGTTAGTTCAACTATCAACTTTTCCATCTGAACTTCAACTTGCAAATGACAGACTAAGAAAGCAACATCAAAGAAAATTGGTACGTGTTATACAACTGCCTCTAGGCAAGTATCATACCAACCCGGATTGCAGTATGCTCTGTCTAGTCTTTCAAAAATAAGGTCCTCCTCTGAACAATGCAGACTCGATAAGCTAAAAAATCTCAAAAAAAACTCTTTACCAAACAAGGACTATAAGCCCATAATTCCAAAACGAAAAGTATACTTCGTATAAGATTCTGTGACAACCATCAATAACTTACTTTTATTCATCCATTACTAGGGGAATACTCATCGCCAAAGAAATGCAATGGTGCAACTCCAAAATGGCTTTAACTTACTTTTATAAATAGAATCAACCATCACATTTACAGCGGCTACAATATCCCTCAGATAAGCAATGGTACAAATTCAACCTGGTAGTGGTGATCACTTTCTATGAACTACAATCCCATATTCACATTTACAACGGCTACACATTAAATTACAATCCCCGTCATTAAATATCTTGAAAACAAAATTTTGACAGAATCACTGCTGATTCTGTTGTCTTTGCTGTTGAAAATTTTGGAGATTCTGAGATGCATTTTGGAGAGGTACCATATTAGACTGGAGATTTTGAGAATTCTGCGACATGCTTCCAAAAGCAGCTTGAGGGACTTGCTGCTGCTGGGGTAAACTCATCATACTGGCTGGATTTGCTCCAATATTGAACACTGTTAAGAGAGACAGCCACCAAGAAATTAAGTCCAAACTTTAATGTTTAGATGGAACACCACCTCAGCCCCTCCTCCCCTTTCCAGCAGTACGATCACCCAACATAAATGCAATGAGCAATAATAATCAATGACTGACGCATACAAAAAGGCAAGAAAGAGATTACATACTCTGATCACTAAGCATCTGGGAAGGATGAGTCCTTTGAGTGTTTCCACCAGGTAATGCAAACTGAAGATGTGCAACAGGTGATTGTCAATGCATATTAGTACTACAACAAGCTCAAAGCAGTATATTCAACATATAAATTTAATACACATCATTTGTTCCTGTGCCTAAGATAAAGTAAAAGGAATAGCTTATTACCAATTGAACTTTTACATACATACACCAACGAAACAATAATTAGGGGCCAAATTGCAGCATATGTATATTAGAATGCATAAGAAAGTGAAACCATCTAATTCTCAATCATATGCAAGCATTAACAAGCAACCAAAACAGAGATATTGACTCAAAACTTTTACCTAACACCCTTCCCCACACCCCACACCCCACACCAACAAAGTCGACTACCTTGAAAAGTTATTAACTGCCAAATGATAACATTTATCTTTTTTATGTCCAAAGTTTACATACTAGTAGATGATATGTTGATACAAAGGTATCAATTTACAAAAAACACAGTTAATCTATTCAATCTAAAAACATTATAAGAAGTAACATAGTTGATCAAAAACTAAAAAAACACAACTAGCAAAATACTATTTTCTGAAATTTAAATACCAAAAAGAAGCTGATGCTTATTACTTCTAGTACAGTAAATGTAGCGAAAAGTAATAAGAAAAAACAATGAAGTGTCTTTATCAATCTGCGCAAAGGATCCATAAGGTGATGGTCCAGTTGGTCTACATAATGTGTATGAACAATTGGTGATGTATTCTAATAAGTTCAATAATTTGTACTTTTGTGTTTTATTTATGATGGTCAAGTAAAGAAGTTTGCATTATTTTACTGACATCTTAATTATACTATTGATCTGTATAATATTAGTAAATTCTTGCAATTGTGATAAGAAATCAAAACTGACTTACAGTACACCAAATTCTTCTTTCTTACACGATCCATAATAATCATTTTGATTTCCAGCATTAAAAAATTTTTAACCACGAGATTAAAACATTGATTACAAATATTGCTTGGATATCCCATAATTCAGCCCCCAACCCCACCTCCACCCCATTGTGCTTGGGTGTTCATTAATAATGCAAGGGCCAATACATATTGTTGATCAATTATAAGATAACACATTCGATTATTCAGTTGGCATCCATACAGCAATAATTCTAATGTCATCCTTCAGTCAAGTCAATTTCTTATACACATACTAATCGGAATGGACATCTACATGGGAAGGAGAAAAGGACCAATGGTTGTCAATTTGTCAAAAAGAGACATTACACTCAGCAAGTACGTCTAATGCAAACATGCAAAAAAGACAGCAGCAAATTGTTTCAAGGACATAACTAAAATCAGAATGCAATCACAGATTATGTAAAAGTTGAGGTGCATGTTCTACCACAGGAGCATTAGGTGAATTCTGAGCAGCATTGAACAATGCTGTATTAGCAGCTCCAGAAAATTGGCCAATATGACGGTTGAGCTGGGTTCCTTGGTTCAGTTGGGTTTGTCCAATATGTCCAGTGGGCAGCTGCCTACCTTGATATTGCTGACTCGCTGATTGTTGAGAAAATTGCATCTGGTTCTGTCCTTGCAGCTGGCAGATGTATGTATAACAATAAGGAACCTTGATAGAATTAACTTTAAAAACACATGAAACTCCTATTTCCACTTCGCTATGATATCATTAAAAGAATTTACCTAATTGCGATACAGGTAAGAATTCTTTTTTTTTTTAACCCACAGTCATAACAGTCATAAGTCGAAACAAGCACGCAATATCAAAGGATCCTTAGGCAATAGGAATTAGGACTTCCCCAGTATAAAACCAGGACTACAAACTAATGTTCGACAGAGAAATTCCTCTTCTGTTTGCATAACAAGCAAATAATCTCCTAAGAGCTGCGAATAGTAATAGTAAAATAGGCAAAGGTTGGCTTCTCCTAAGATCTCAGTATGCAACAACTACACCCCACCCCCCCCCCCAAAAAAAAAACAACAAGGAAAAAAAAAAAAGAAAAAGAGAAATCTTTAACTCTTAGATCGTGGACAAATGCAACCATATACCACAGTAGAGAAAATAAGATTTAGAAAGATAGCATATGAATAACAGAAGATTATGCATGCTCGAATGTTCCCTGTGCAGAACACAGAGCCAGCATCTGGCAGGAAAAACCAAATTTTTTGTAAAAAAGAAAAACATTCTAAAGCAAAGAGAAATTTGTGCATAAAAATACCGAAGGAAACTTCTGCTGTGCCTGAGTCTGCATATCATGTGGTTGTGGTAATTGGTTCTGCGAGAAATGATTAGATAACTTAATCAAGAGTCAAGCCATAAATTAAGCGTAGATATCTTAATTTTTTCCACTGTGGGATTATTTCGTTGTTTGGGCAACTGGAGGGTAGCAGCTCTCCCCCTCCCCATCCACCATTTCCAATATCCCAGAACTCTTACACTTCATTCTTTTGAATCGCAACATTGGAAAAATTGCACTATTAACACATGCTCCTTTAACTGTCTTTTGTGATTTATACATAGAAAAAACATAGTCATGTGGGGTTTTGTTAGATTTGTCTTGATATATACATTCACAATATTAGCTTTTTACAATTTTTTAAAGTATAATGAAAGATATAGATGGTATAAATTGTGAACTGGCAAGCGTGAAAACACCCCCTTTCGAATCTTTGATTCTGGTGCAAAAGACAAACACGAAGTTAATTTTTATTTTCACTTTCCTATAGCTAAAGTCAGAAGCAATCAAAAGCCAACGGAAAGTGAAAAAAAAAAAAAAAAAAGTCGTGAACAAAGTACACTGGTGGGTAGACATGAGATGGAGAGGGAAAAATCAATATATTATCTCGTCAACAATGATACAAAGAAAGCTTCTCCCTCCTCTTGAGCTCAAGTCTACTTTATCAGCAAGCTATAATCACATTTGGAGAACATTTCATGAAGCAACAAAGACAATGTCAAAAGGGTAAATCTCGAATGAAAATAAAATTAAGCTGAGGAAGAAATTAGCTCCTTCCACCACAGGAATTGCCAGGACTTTCATTAATATGCAATATTTAGTAGGAACTGAGACAGACAATTAACATCTATAATATATGCCCAATGGCAGCAGAATAGGGAGGTGAAACTGCCAGAGGCAGCAAGGGTAAACTGAACATGATACTATATACTGGTTAATTGCAAAATTGTAATATAAAAATCTACTTACAAAAATTCAACATGAAATGAAAACATAGTTAAAATCAACAGCAAACCATAGAGAGGACACAAGTACTTAAACTAATTGGTTCTATGTATTTAGAGCACAAGCACAATAAATACCTGAGCCAAACCCTGCATGGCAGAGTTTCTATATTGCTGCTGCTGCTGAGCAAGAAGTTGCTGCTGCTGAGAAGGAAGCTGCATCATTTTTCTCTGTTGCAGCTGATGTTGTTGTTGAAGTGTTTGCTGCTGGGGAGAAGGTGCATTCATCATGTTTGTACCAGATCTTGGCGAGTTTGCATACTGCATTGGGGATGCTGTATTCTCAAACGAAGATGGTACTGTGCCAGTAGAAGGTGAAGGCACTGATCTTCCAAGATGTTGTCCACCAGAAGCCTGCACCAAAAGGAGGTTTACACCAATCAGATCCGGAAGAAATGACTTTTTTTTTCTAATAAAAGTTTTAACAAGCCCTGGTTTTGTTCAAAGTACTGGCAGAAGCTGTAATTCACAGTAGAACTTCTATAATTAAAGGGAAATGATATACAAAGCCCTTAGGCTGCATAGAAAGAGCCACAAGTGGAAATACCAAGTTAAATTAAACAGTATTTACACCATTCGATGCATGATTTTGTCATGCATTCCTATATTAAAACCAGTTTAGAAAATACATTAAATGCAGCTTTGGGCTGCATATATCAATTTCGTAATTCCTCCCACCCCCACCCAAAAAAAAAGGCAGCAATAACAGTTGTATGAAATATTTTAATCTCCAGACAGGTGCTTTACAGAGATTGCATATAGGCTTCCAATCAACTAAAAAGCAAACTGCTTATCTTGATTTATAATAGCTGATCTTTGGGCGCCAAATGTCAAAGAAAATGAACTTGATTTATAATTTTTTTTTTTAAAAAAATCGGCTAAACAAGTAAGGGAATAGGTGGATCGGTCATACTCAAACAAAAAGATTTTAGATCAGTCGGGCATGGTCCATACTAGATGTTGATGGTGGTGGCAGTCGTTTAATGTATTGTTTGAACTTCATGCTCAAGTCCATTAACATGACCATGCATGACAAGATATACACAATTGACCCAGAAACAAGGACCACATATAAGGCAAGATGCAAGCCAAGCTGCTCATAAACTTTTCATGCTCTAGTTGCGAAAAGATAGACTTGGCATGACTAATGAACTGACGCAAACTTCAAGAGAAATGTTTGGTTCTAAAGCTTACAAATCTTCTGTTCTTACTGCTCTATTAGATTCTCTGGCTGCAAAAGATTGACTTGGCTTGACTAATGCGCTGATGCAAACTTCAAGAGAGATGTTCGGTCTAAAGCTTACAAGAAGTTTCTTTTTCTTTTTGTTTTTTTTAATCTTTTTTTCTCATTACTCTGTTTGACATTTTAAACCAATCTAATTTTAGAAAAATAAATTAAAGGGCGGGGGGGGGGGGGGGCGAAGGCAATAAATTGGAGGAAACCAAAAGCAATTGAATGGATTTTAAATACAGAAATTTTAAGGAATGTAGAATGTTAAAGACAATATCTACCTGCATTGGAGTTCCCTGATTGCTGTGACTACTGGATAGCATAGGAGGAGTACTCTTTGAGTACATGCCTGATAGAATAATTATCACAATTTCCATTATAAAAACATCAAAGTACAATATAAAGATAGAATGCAGCCAAAGATCATACATAAAGAGAATGCAATTCCTTGTTACCAGATCCATCACCATAAGTCTGTGTCCCATCAACAACAGTGAGCACGTCAACAAGATGTGAGGGAAGTGGAGAAGTAGCATGCCTCTGGTCTGCAGGCAGCCTTAATCCTGTACGACATAGAAATCATGCACCTCAAAGACAGAATACAGATAGCAAAGATCTATCAAAATACCACACAATTATATCAAAACAATGAGTTGGCAGGAACAAGACAACATAGTGGTGAGAAAAGTAGAACCGGCAATCCCTGACCCGACCTAAACCCAACCTGAAGTATTGAGTTATAACTTGAACCTAATCTGAACTCTAACTAGTTTGACCCATTTATTGTATTTTGTACAAGTAAGTTTTACGCTAATTTTGATTTATATTAGCAGAACCTGAAATCGACTTGAAACCAAACCTGAACAGCCGAACCTGGCCCATTGGATCTAGATTTACCACCTCTAGAACTAACCATTTACCATCAGTGTCTGTTAAAATCTCACTTGGTTTGCATTGTTATTTTATCCTGCCTTCCCCCAAGGCTTTAAGGAGTCCTCTTCAACAAAAATACAAACATAAGTTTCAGAACAGAGAGTAATGTCTTACAGCAGATAACCAGGCTTATTGATAACCACCCAAACAAAGAAAACAAACCAGGCAACAACCCTACTGCAAATGCTGCAGGAAATGAATAATTATAAAGAAATAAGAAAAATGCATGCGAGCAAACAACCACAGCTGGACAGGAGAAGAGAGAAAGCGATAGCGCTGCATAAACAAATGTCTAAGCGCCGTTTCAAATACATTAAGATCATAAAGTAAGCACAGTCAGTTGCCTTGCAACTATTTGAAGACTCACCTTCACCATGATTGACAGCAGCCCGGAGTAAATTTTCCTTTTCTTGAATTTTAGCAGAAAAGGCCTTGTCCAAAGTTGGGACAGTGCTCATCCTCTGACGGGTATCCAAACCATAGGCTTTGCGGGTATCAGCTATAACTTTTTCAGCACTTTCACAAGCTGCAGCAATCATGTCAATTCTACCCTGCCACAGCGGCCAGTCATTTTTATAAAAATCTGATTTTAGAAGTTGCTTGTTAAAATGCTAAATTAGCATAATCAAGTCACCTTAAGCTTATCAATTTGTGTGGGTATAGGCAGATTTTGCATGCCAAGAAGCAACTGCTCCCTCTTAGAATTGTCATCCACTTCCATCTCAGGCAAGAGCTTGGACGACAGCATGACAGGGAGTACTGCATGGAAAGTGATTTGTAATTACAAAGGGTTAATATAATGTACACCACAGAATCTAATTATTCAGTCTTCATATATCAATGGACTTGCCTGTTCTCTAAACACAAAATAAGGTGTTCTAGTCTGATTTATATCTTTGTGCAATAATGTATCTAAGTCTAATTTGGCTAAACTTTCATTGTATTTTTAATGAATAATATGTTAGATTTGTTTCAATGTGTAATTGTGTATTTTCCAAAGTTTTTAATTTTCTAATTTTTATTAATTCCCAATCAAAGTCAATCAATCAAAGCCTTAATCCCAATCAATGATATTTAGTAAAAAGAAAAATTCAGATTTTTAGATCTGATGAATATTACTAGTTTGATTCTGAAAAGATTGAGTGATAAGTTTCTAATATAAGGTGAAGAGAGCAGGTTTTCAATCTGCTTTTCAGTCTCTCTCCTCAGTCCTCACTATGCTCTATGTTTTACTTTTTTTTCTACTCTCCCTCCACTTCTATAGCACATTATCCTTTGAATTTGATGAGAATGCAACTTATTCAAGACTGGGCCACTAACCTATCAATGGCTTTCTTATTTTATTGTAAGAACTAAGAGTACATAACTCTCTTTTTTGAAATTCCCTAAAAAAAAATGAATAAATAATAAGATTTCAACTTTTCAAGTCATCATATTTTAAGACACCTTATGTCAAATAAAAATAAATAAAAAAAAAAAAAGAAATTTTGCTTTTAACCACCAAAAAAACTTGATATTGTTTTTTACCACCTACTTTTTTAAAAATTTTATTTTACCACCACAAAAAAATCTAAAATTTCACCACCGACTAGCAGATACCATCTATTAGTGGGGCAACCATATACACGTGTCACTAAGCTATTGGATTAAAAAAAATAATAAAAAAAACCCTTAACACTAACCCAGCTACCACCACCTCGCCACTGGCACCCCTACCACCGCCGACACTCTCGAAACACCCCCCTCCCTTTCCCCAGGCCCTTTCCCTTTTCCCCCACCCCGAAAACCACCACAGTCATCATATTCTAAGATACCTTATCACAAATAAAAAAAAATAAAAAGAAAATGAAATCTAGACATGGTTGCTGGCTTGCAGCTCAATACAAAAATACTTGCATATTCACTTTCTAAAGTGTAGATTTCCTTATAACTTATATCAAGTAATCAACCCCTAATTATGAACAACAAAAGGTAGTAAACATTGAAAAGGTATGAATTATGCAAAACCATAACCTCAAATGACTGAAAGTCATGTACCTGTGGCATTCTCGGCATTAACATTCCTGGGATGGACCACAAAAGCTTTTGATACCTTCTTGATGTCTTCCACGATATTGAACAACTCGAGATTCACCATTGAAAATTGACCAACAACATCCTGCCTGGTACAAGATATAACAGTTAGTGGTTAAAAGACATTAAATAAATTTACGTTTAAGATCAGAAAAAGTATCAACTCCAATTCTCATCAAATAGCAATATCCTCTAATGCATAACCTTTCTCTTCCATCACACCTTTTTGACCACCCTCCCCACTTCCAGACAATTAGAGTGTTCAATTTTAAATGAAGGGTCACCAAATCATCGTCACATTGCAGTTAGAAAATGCACAGCCAAATCCTCCTCACGTAAATGGAAGTTCATTAGAGGCATTGGGTAATGTTCGCTCCAATGTTAATCAAATGCTCTACTTTCTTCACATCAATTTACTTTGAAATTTATTCAATAAAATTACTCCCACAAATTTCGGATTATACTTAAAAGTTTGGGAATTTGGAGCACCAATCCCAGCATTCCACACCAATCAGCCTAGTTCATGATAAATCAGGTGAAGAAGACAAAGTCTATTGCTCTTACCTCCATTGAAAAACAAAGCTCACGAAAAATCCATCGTTAAAAATTGCTAGTTTCTTAATCACACGGTAATTTTCTCAACGAGCTCAAAATTAAGTTCCTCAAATTTTAAAAACTACTCTGAAAATTAAAGTTATGAAATAAAGAACAGAAAACCCTAAAACAATCAATTTCCCAATTCATACAGTAATAATGAAACTAAAAACAATAAAATTAGGGTTTTTTCCCAATTGAGCAAGAATTAACATCAATTCTAGGGAATTTGAACAACAACAAAAGTGAAAGAAAAAGTGAAGAGAGAAATTGGACCATTTAGGGAGGGCATTGGAGCGAGACAAGACGTCAAAATCTTCGAGAATGCGAGAGATGGCTTTGAAGAGACTAATGGCACGAGTTTTGACAGACTCTAAATTGAGCTGTTGTTGTACTGCTGAGTTTAGCTTCTCCACCACCTTCGCCGGTTGCGGCGGTTGTTGCGGAGGCTGTTGTTGTTGCGATGCTGCTTGGTTTTGATCTTGGAGTGTGCCCATCATTGCATCCATGATCGCCACCGGGGGAAAGAGAAGAGAGGAGTGAGACTCAAAACTCAAAATGTCTAAAATGAGAGTTTTGATATTGATATTTTAGAAAGGAAAATACATGAATATAGTTAAGTATGTAACTAAAACCTAACTTACAGATTACTGTGTGAATTAGGTAATTTTCGAGCCATGCTCATTTTCGGTGTGGTCAGCCACACCGTGTGGCCGACTAACACACACCCACACACACCCAAACACTGATTAGGTAATTCTTGATTGGTTGTATTATACCTAATTGAGTATTTCATGACCGATTGAGTAACCTCTGACCTACTGAGTAACTCCTAACCGACCAAATAACCCTTGATCGAATAATTTTGACCGACCAAGTAACTCATACCAATCAAGTAACCCTTGACTGAGTAACCCCCTGACTCACCGAGTAACCCTTAACCAAGTAACCCCCTGATCGACCAAGTAACCCCTGACTAAGTAATCCGGCCACACCGGTGTGGCCAACCAGTCAGCCACATATGAAACTTTGGGTTTTGTCCTTGATATTTTTATAAAAATAATTTTTTTTAATTAAATATAGTGAAACTACCGTATATAATACGGGACCTTAGACCTAACACAATAATAAAAAAAATAAAGTAAACTTATATATGTTTCAAAATAATAAGTGTAACCATTATTTAAAACTATCCTAGAAATAAATATTGTGCAAAAACAACAAAGATAACAAAATCATTATTTGCAATAGTGATTAAGAATGTAATAATAGAAAGGTTAGTTAAAAAATAGACATCATCATACCATTCTTTAACAAAAATCAAAATCTAATCCAAATTCCAAATAGAGCAAAAGTAGAATCCTTTATTTATACACAAAAAGAAAAAATTAAAAATTTAAAAATTAAAAAAAAAATCGTGGCATCCAATATTCCCTCACTTAGACTTTGACCTCATCCCAACTACAACAAGGAGTAGCACATGTTCAGCTTCTTCCTTTTCTTTTTTCCTCTAACTTTTGCGCTCCAACTAAAATTAAAATAAATAAATCAACAAAATCTTGCAAACTTTCTCTCTCATCAAATCTGGGAATTTTACTCTGCTAATTTTTTCTTAGCCGCCATTTTTGTCAAATTTTCTCTTACACGAAACCCTAAATTCTGCACTTTTTTGGATTGTCGGTGATCTCCGAGGTTGCAGCAATGACGGATTCAATCAGGTTATTTATTTATTTATTTTCTTAATTTTAATTTTAGCTTTTAAATTCCCGATTATAGTCGAATTTGATCAGTTTGTTTAGCGAATTTTAATTTATGGAGATGTTGATTGCAAGTTTTTTTGATGTTTAATTTTTCTGCATTGATTGAGCTGATTTATGATCCACATTGTATGAGTGTTGAAAATTGAAGTGATTAGTGAATTTCCTCTTGAAGATTTTATGTTCAAGGTTGTGCGATTTTTTTTTTTTTCTCGAAATTTTGTGGTTTGATCATTTGCACACATAGTCTCTTTAGGCATGAAATGCTGAGGTAAGTTATATTGGAACTGTAATCCAAACAAGTTTTAATGAAGGCAATGTTGCAGAGTGGAGACTAATTTAGCAATTAGGAATTTATAGTTGTTAATATCTAAATTACCAATGATATAAATAGCTCGGGTGGTTCCTGGGTTTTTATGCGTTGTTCTATTTTCTAGTGAGGAAATTACTGCTACAAGCAGTTATATGAAGTTTAAAAAAGTAATGTAACTTAGAAGTTTGGAAATGAAAAAAAAAAAAAAAAAAGGCTAAGATTAATAGTATACTGCCAATGAATTTATAAAAGAGAATACACTTATAATATTCTATTGTTATCTTCATTTCTATTCAGTAAATATCTATTTTTTAGTTGAGAATTGATCTTGAGTAACCCTTATTACCACTTATATGAACTATTAATCCTGAACTTAATAACCCTAATTTGAATTCATTTTTCCTAAAATAAGTGTATATAAAGTGAACTGAACAGGACATAAGTAATCAAGGTGTAACTACTTCTGAAAAGCTATAAAAGTGATGTAAAGTAATTCGTATAAGACATCATTTTTTATTTTGAAAGATTAAATAATGAGATTGTAGTACATTTATGAATAATTTCTTACTTTTCCAAATTAGAGGTCATGCGCTACTTTGCATATACAACATCCTTCTTTTTTTTTTTTTCCTGCATTTGCATAAGAAGAGAGTGCCACGTGGTGCACAGATTGGCTCCAAAAAGTTTATGAATATATCTTGATTTCATGTTGGATATATCAAAGTTTCTCAGTGTCATTACTAGATAGTTTTAGAATATTTAAGGGTGAGGTTATGTATGTGTGGACCTCCATAACCTTGTCTCATTGGGAATTATACTAAGTTATTGTTGCTGTAATGTACACATTGAGCTGACAAACACTAGCATGCTATTAGAACTTGAGTATCATACCGAGAAGCCGATAATTGACCATCTTTATTTAAGGGGATAACTTCGGATTTTGGCTTTTACATCTTTGTTTTCTCTTGTTGCAGGTATCTCCTTCATTAGCAGGTGAAATGGTTTTCAAGCTTTACAAACCAAAGGATGATTTGGACTATTTGAATTTTTATATTATCTGCAATGCAACTAGCTTCGAATGGCAGTCGCGGAGAAGATGATTCAGAAACAGAACCTATCTTGTCGGAGTCCCATTTAGTTGAAGAATCTCACGAAACTACCCTTTGTGAAATCAGAACTGTTGATTGCGATACTTCTGCTGTGACAGATGTTGAAGCTGATGAAAACTGCAGTCTAGTGAATCCAGAGCAACCACAATGCCGGATATGCCTTGAAATTGAAGGTCTTGTACTGCTTGTGGAATTATATATTTTATACCAACAATACTGCATCTTTCCTTCTTCCTGCCTCTAATTTTGCTGTAGGCCTGTAGTCTGTATTAATTATACCTTGCTGAGTATTTATTTCTCATCTGAAAATCCTGTGCCCATGGTCGCTTCTTGTTTGTAGATGATATATCTTTGTTATTCATAAATTGATTCTTCTTATAGATGTTATCTTATACAAGTATTTAATATGAGAGATTAATAAGTTGATGTATGGTGTCAGGAGAAGATTTAATTGCTCCATGTCATTGCAAAGGCACTCAGAAATATGTCCATAGATCATGTCTTGACAACTGGAGGTCCACAAAGGTATATGCTTAAAATTCATTCCTTAAAGCTCTTAGAGACAAATGTGTAGTGCACATCACTACACATGCCAGCCATGGTTATTGTTGTTTCTGATCGTCTATAAAACACAAATACTTTGCTTAGAGCCAGAAGTGTATTAACAAGTAGAGCCCCTGAATCAGAAATTTATACTCACTTCCTTTTAAGAAATCTTTAGTTATTAGTCATTGCATCGATATCCAACACTGACAACTAATGTTGCATTGAATTTTCTTACACTGATTAGTACTAATGCATTGATATTTTCATATTTAAGTGACAAGTAAAGCTGATGGAAAAAGTAGCTATTCAGTTGTCAGATATATGCAATGGGGTAGTATTGATTACAGGAACAATTTAAAATTAATTTAGTTTCGTGGTGATTTATAACTGTATCGGTTATATGTTTAGAAGATCTACGTAGTCATTGAAGTTGTCTATCGTGATGTTTTAGAAGTCGACCAAGTCGTTTACTTGATTTTCATATTTTTGAGTTTGATAAAATAGGTATTCACATCCACAAATTGCAGCAATTAGAGACGGTTGCTCTCCAAAAACAATTATCTAACAAAAATTTACCATTTGCGCCTATCATGTTTCTCTTCTCATTTCCGTGACCACATGTGGAAGAGCCTACCTTAAATGATTTTTATCTTTGGTTTATTTAAAGAGTAAAGACACATGTATCATTGTGTATTTAAAATCTATTGCACTGAGTTTTTAATTGCAGTAAGTCATGATAGAAAGGATTGCTACATAGTGTTCTACTAGTTATGAATTAAGATTCCTAGTTGTGTAATGGGATGATAACCTGAAGAAATTCTTGTTTAATGTCTCATTATAATAGGGGGCGTTCAATTTAAGGCTTGGTTTCCTGTTCTCACTAAAGCTGTAGTATGTAATACCAACTTAGGATGATTGTAGTAGTATTTGTACATAACTACCAAGTGAGGCAACATTTGCCATACTGAATAGTGATTGATTTACAGGATACTAGTGAATAGCAAGTTCTTATTTTTCCTTCCCGTCCCTATCTCAATTTCATGTACTTGAATATACTGCTTCTTTCTTGTCTTCTCAAGTTCAGCTAAAGTTGGATATTTTTCCTTCAGGGGTTAGGATACATCTTTTACATAATTAAAGTTTCTATAGGTTTTTACTTTACTTTTTAGATTTTTTTTTTTTTAACTCCTGATAATTGTGCTCTAGAAACAATTGCTGCTTCAAATTTAATTGCGTCAAGACATGTTGGAAACCAGCATAAAAAACACCTCCATATACCTACCCTGATGTGTAATCATTCTGCTGATCTGAACTTTTTAGATTTTCATCACTGGAGGACTAACTTAATGTTATTATCTCATTTGTCATATTCTCAGGAGGGCTTTGCTTTTGCTCATTGTACAGAATGCCGGGCAAATTTCTTACTGCGAGCAAATGTCCCATCGGATCGCTGGTGGTTGAGATTAAAGTTTCAGTTCCTTGTTGCAAGAGATCATGCACTCATTTTTATAGTTGTTCAGATGGTATAATGACATAACATGATGCTCTGTAAAGTATTTAAACATTCTTAACAATTTACATACAGGAAAAAATCAGTATGAATATTCATATTCTAGTTCAGTCAGATTTTGACCGAGTTTCCTAATAAGCATTATTGATTGATTTGGCTGCAAATGATTTTCCAATTTTTGGGCTATGCAACTAGAATTGTTGCTGTAGTGAGTTTAAGCTGTGGGACTTATAGAGCTCCTTTAGTATCAGCTTCTAAGGAAAGGGCGTGCACAAGATACCTTAAACCAAAGCCATCATGCTTTAGATCGAGGATAAAGCGACAACTTTCCTATTCCAATACATCTTTTAAGTTAAGGATGTTTAGATTCTTTTACCAACTCTCTTCTATATTTTCCTAAGGATGTGGTTAGGCATATCTCGTCCTCTAAAGTTGGTACTGGTAATTTCATTATGAGTACCATGTATAGCTAAGCATTTTCTTTCCTTAGAAGATGATTGACCTATACAAAATGCTATATTTTGTTAATAGAATGATTACAATAGGTAAAATTTGTCATTCTTTTTTAAAGCTACAAATTGCTTCCTCTTCTTTCTAAAGAGGTTTGCCTCTTTCGTTGAAACCCCTATTTGCAATATGCCCAAAAGCTTTGAGTGCCCTCTCTGAGGATGTTGGTTTAATGGTATATATACTATTTATTTATCAATTTATTTTTAGGGGGGGGGGGGGGTTGGTGGTGGCAGTGGAAGTAGGAGGGTTCTTAAATGTGTTGTTCTGAAGAGAAATGTAGATTTAACCTATGTTTATCTGGCCATCACTCTTAGCCCTGTTATGATATAATAATGTATGTGAAAGATATAGTTGATTTGCCAAAATCTTTTCTCATGGAATTTTTTAAAGATCATGTGCTCTATAGTTAGGCTATTTTTTTTTGCCTATATAGTTCTACCTATGCACTTTACTTGCTTTGACAGTATTTATTGGATTCCATATTAGGCATGTGTCTTATAAGTTGCTAAACCAAATTCACTGGACACTAATCAACAATAAGTGCATAACATATACTTATGTGCATGTGTGTTCATATTACATATTTAGTAATACTTGTTTGTTTTGGCATGCTGTAAAATTCTAATTAAGCTGTTTTAACAGATTGTGGCAGTGTTAGGCATTTTAGTTTACAAATTCTATGGCGAAGAACTACGTGAAATGTTTGGCTATCAAGAACACCCATATGCATTTTATATCATGGCTGGTATGTGATTCGTTCTTTTCTGTCTTTTCTGCAATTATTTATGTGCAGTTTTGTACTTCATGCCATGGACAAGTTCAGGTGTTATAATTTATAAACACTAAGTCAGTTAGTTATTCTTTGTTGTTTTTTAAGGAATAATAAATTTCTTGATTTTCTGTAAAATTGAATAATTCATGTCTGAGTTGATTCTCCAGCATATGACATATTGAACTAAGCTATATTACTCCACCAGAATACTTTTCTCTTTTCTCCTTTTTGTGATTGTGTTGCTAATGGTTTTCGACCTCATGGCTGAGATGCTATTTCCAAAAAGTGTGATGCTGAATCTTATTTGGTTATAGATCTGAAATAATGTGGACATTTGTGGCCTGAGTTCATTTATTCCCCATAATATTTTGTTTTCATGAATTGGTAAAAACCCTTTTTAAAGGTGTAAAACATAATACGGTTTTAGAGGGTATTGCTGGTTTGTGATCGTCTTGCAAGATTCACTCAAAATAATTTTCTGTATACATAGTAGAAAAATTTGTATTTAGTGTGTATTAAACTACCAAAGTCCCAAACGTTTACAAATCGTTAAACAGATTTCGTCACATGGCCCACTTTTTGCTCCACATTTTTCTCCTTTGGGTTTCTAAAATTTTGGGTTATAACTCTCCTATTTCACCCACTCTTCAACATTTGCTCAACATATTGCTAATAAAATTTTTTTATATGTGGCTAACACCGTGGCCAGTCATCTTGGGGGTTACCTCGTCAGTGTTATAGTGGTTACTCGGTCAGTGTTGTAGGGGTTACTCGATTAGTGTTATAGGGGTTACCCGTACTGTATTATAAGGGTTATTCGGTCGGTGTTATAGGGTTTAATTTATTATTTTACAAGCGGCCATACGGTGTGGCTGTTAGAAATTATGGAAGTGTGGGTGGGCTTTGGTATTTTGGAGGAGTAGATTTGTGAATAATGATTTTAGTTTGGAAGGAGAAGAAGTGCAAAGTATATAAAAAGGTTGACTTTTTTTTGTTTATTTGGTATGCTTCTTGTGTTTCTTACATACTCTATCATCATACATGGCCATTTATTTATAGGCCTAGCTTAGAACTCTCTACATTTAGTGAGTTGTAATTCTAATTCTAGATTTTTCTACCTAAGTCTCTAATTTTCTACCTACTAATTTCTAATCATGCTAGATATTTTACAAGATATTTCTACAAGTTTCTACATTGTTCTATATTTTTCCAATATCTCATGTTATATTTTTATACAACGTAATTCTAGATTTTTCTAGATTACTATATTTTAACAGTGGCCAGCTGCACACAAAACACGGTGATCACTAATTAGGTGAGTATTATTCATGTGAAGAGTGGTTCGTGTTGGGGTTTCAAGCAAGAATCTTTAAGAATTTCAATTTGGCAAGTTTTTTGCATTAAAATGTAGGATGTATGGAATTGCAATTCAACTGAATGAATCTTCCTTGCAAAATTGAACAACTATTCTTACTTAATGCATATTCAAATTCCTGTGGTCCCCTTCCAAGGATTGAAATGATGAATGCAAAAAAAGGTAAAGTTTGGGTGACCCTAATGATGCAATCCAGAGGGAGGGAGGGAGGGAGGGAGGGAGAGAGAGAGAGAGAGAGAGAGTGGTTAGGAGTCAATTTGGTGGGAAAATATAAAAGGTTAAAACTGGCATATCAAGTTTTTTGACGGTTTCAATGGTTGTTACTTGGTAGGTAGTTTAAAGAAACAAAATGTGAGGATGGTTAGGAGTCAATTTGGTGGGAAAATATAAAAGGTTAAAACTGGCATATCAAGTTTTCTGACGGTTTCAATGGTTTGTTACTTGCTAGTTAGTTTAAAGAAACAAAATAATACTTCGTATAAAGCGGAGTTATGGTATACAAAAGGTACTTTTTGACAAATTTTCCTTTATGTTATTGAAAATTATAGATGGATATGAGGCATATTATTTGCATGTTGCAACTACACAAGAATTTTGGAAGTTGTGCCTGTGGAGTTATATCTTTGAACTTTGAATTGTTGTTTTACATTAAAAAAGTTAGGTCTCTTTATAGTCCTCACCTCTTGCTCAGTTTTTGATGCACACCTTTAGGCATACATAGCTACCAATGTGTACTACAAAAAATTAATAAAAGTTAATATTGTGAAATTATACATTGAAACGACTCAAACAAAATCAACATGAGGATTTTTTTCATATATATTGACATAGATTCCATTTATATTGGAGAACAAAAAGAAAGGGAGGGGTTATCTTCTTATAGAATGTTTACACCCTAATTCATGTTGTAATATATGCCTAAACACTTATGTATGGTTATTTTTTTATTTTTTATTTTTTTTAAAAAAAAAAAATCATGGCAGAGTGGTTTGGATTTTTGTTGACATTTGTAGCTGCAATCTTATTGTTTTTCTGTTACTGTACAGTTAAACCCTTTGTATGATAAGATTGAAAACTAATGTTTTAATATAACTGATTTTTTTGTGGGTTCATATGTGGAAAAGTTAATGAAGTCCTACATACTTGGTCCAATATTTGCAGTTTTGTCTATTATACTCGTTGGCTTGCTTTATGGCTTCTTCATAGCGATAATATGTGGACAGAGGATCAGTGAGCGCCACTATCATGTTCTTGCAAAGCAAGAGTTGACAAAGGTACTAATTATTCCTTAATGTCAATTGCTAATAATTGGGAAGCCTTGAGCAATGCAATTATGTCGTCTACTTGGATGTCAATATTAGACATGCATCACATGCTCCTAAATATTGCATCCGATCTGAATTTTTAAAGCTTTCTCTTATTCTAGCTTCTTGATGATCTACTTGTTAAAGAGATATATACCTTTCATGTCATAGGAGGAGTCTTCTATTGTACTGTTTTGTTACCTGCTTTGTCTCTCTGTGCGAGTGATGGTTGGAATTCATTTGCTTCAAGTTATATTACTAACCTCTCTGTTGCATTCATTTGAATTGAAGATTTTATATTATGTGCAGGAGTACATAGTGGAAGACCGTGAAAGTAAAGATGTTCCTGAACTTGACCCTAGCCACATATCAGAGCTGAGAATGTTGGGCCTCTACTGAAACAATCAAATAGACTTTCCTTGGCATTCTTGTAGGTGTGTTTTCTAATCCCCTCGAGTTGTTTTGTTTTCTTTGTATTTTCCTCTGATTAATTAGGACATTCAGGTGAAGCATAGTTTATTCTTAGTTGATGATTTTGATCACTGGTGGCAGCATAACTAGACGAAAACTTCAAAGTATGAATTTTTCTGCTGCTGAATTGCTGCTCAGGTTTTTATTTTGTTGGCAAATGTTAAGGAAATTAGATGTTTGAGGTTTGAAAGAGACAATAATTGAGTCTTGAATGCTGGGGTTTTAAATGTGAGTACTGAGAGGAATAGTGATGCTGACATGCAAGCCGTGAATCTAGTGCTGTTGGTTTGTTTTGAGAAGAATACTTTTGACAGTCAGAGGCTCGGTGCCAGGGGGTGAATCTTGTTTTCCGTAGTCGGAGAGGTTTCCTATTGGCAGCTTACTAAATTTTGTTACCCTGGGAAAGTTTTTAATTTGAGAATTGGAGTTGGATTTGCTTGCATGTGGCAGCTGTGTTTCATATCATCATCATTGTTACAAGTCACAGTTTAGGTGTTCTCCCTAAGGCAGAGTGTATACCTTATACAATACTTGTATACTACTAACATGCACAAAAATTCTGAAATGATTACATTTATATTTTGCTTCCAATTTTGGCAAATGTTCCATCTTTCATACATAATTAGTAAAAACTACTTAAGATGAACAACATCGTCATAATCTCATTATGATAGGAAAACATTCCAGTCAATAACTGAAGTTTTTCCTTGATAGGACAACTCGCCTAATCTTCTTTGTGACGAAGCAGTGAAGCACTCAACTTAAACTTAAACAAAACTGTCTTTGTTAATTCAGTAGTACTACTGCTGAATAATTACAAGCCCCCTACATTATTTAGTCTAACATCCATCTGCTAATTGTTCCCTTAAAAACATAAAGATAATCTCCATTTTCAACACCTTGCCAACAAAGACTACAATTATCACACATTATCCTTTATTTATGGATGAATATGTAATCATCCATAGGCAGAATCCTTCTATTCAGCAGTAATTGCCTCATCTCATTAATAGTGCTTCTCTCCATCTCCAAGGGTATGCTTGCCGCGTTAAGAAAACTTTTTGAGGTTTGTACCACCATGCTTAGCTTCCTGCAGAGAGTTTCATCCTTAATCTGGCTCATGTTTTTGAGAACTGTGATTTCTGAATATTCAGTAACTCCGTACTCACTCAGATATTGAAATTCGTCTTCCATTTCTATTCCTGAAGTATAGAGTAACATCCTCTTGATAGGGGCAACTTCAATAATGTGGATTTTTTCCTTCAGACTTCTGACTGTTTCTGTTATGCTGTCTAACACTATGCTGATTTGCCTTGAGGAAAATTTTATGGTGACTGGGATTGTATTATGGTAAATAGTTTGCAGTCTTTGCACCGAGTAGTAGTCCATAAGAGGTAAGTCATCATGGGTAATGCTGATAATGAGATTGATTCTTGTGCCTTTTTTGGATAATGGGGTAGACA